AATATTAAGAGCTCAAATTTTCAGGGAATTTTTTTTAATTAATTTGGAAGCATTTGAGCCCCTGGGAGCAAAGAAATTTGAAAATATATATATATATATATATACATATTTTTTACTTTAATTTATTAATTGATATTAAAATTATATATAAAAATATATAAATTCTGAGGGACATCTAAAAATGCTTAAATGGTTCTAAAATAAAAAAAAGTAATAGGTAATGGCGTTTTTTTTTTGTGAGCGACATTTTTTAATTAACTAACTTTTGGTGTCAAAAAAAGTCTATTACGATATCATAATACAAATCTGTACCTTAGAGCCAGAGTAGGTTAAGTCCAAAAACCTGATTTTGAATGAGACGTTTAACCCTTTCAGTCCGGGAAGCGGATCCGTCCGCAAAACCTAACGTCATCCCACAGCCGGGAGACGGATTTAAACGCGCGGCTGTCTGATGCATTGAGACCGGGAAACGATCGGATCCACGGGTACAATATGATGCGTTATGCTTCGTTTTATTTATAAAAACAATTTTATAGCGATCGGGTATTATCGTTACGAATGGTGGGACTTTGTTTGGGTTAGAATTTTACCACACTTATAATTGTTTGTCTATGTTTGGAGATTTATTTTGTGCACTAAAAAGTGATAATAAAAAAAATGAGCCGAAAATATTTGAATGACGCCGAGTTAGAAAGACTTTTGTATGAAATCCGCGTCCCTTTAAGTCCGGGAAGCGTACGAATCCGCAAAGCCTAACGAACGCCGGCTGTGCAGTAAGGCGAGCCAAACGAACCCCGGACTGAAAAGTTTAATAATTTGAAACGCTGAATTTTCATCTGCTTTTTTGTTTAAAGCTTGATTTCTATGAAAACAGAATATTCTGTGGGTTTTATAGAAATAGAGCTTTAAACAAAAATGCAGGTGAAAATTCCGCGTTTCAAATTATTAAACGTCTCATTCAAAATCAGGTTTTTGGACGTCTCTGGCTCTGAGGTACAGAAATGTAAACAATACCCAGGCAAATAAAATCAAACATTAAATTATTCATTTTTTTTATGTATAACCGGGCAAACGTAATAACCATTTTTAAAAGGTACTGCAAAACATTTGTAGGATATTTCTTTTACATTTAAAATCTCTTGATTTCCTTTTCCTCTTGCAAAATAAATACCCAATTTTGATGATTTAATTGGATGTGTAAAGAAGTCTTCCAAATATCTAAATGGGGTGGGTGCAAACTATTTGGTAAATTTTATTTAAATTTACGATTGACTCAATCACATAAATTTTATGCTTTACAACAACAATATTGTTAGGTTGCGATATAGAAATAATTATTTCAAATAAATTATTGTTAATTTTAATTTTTTGCAAGTGAAATATGAATTATTATAGTGTTTTACTAATATCGGGGTGTATTCACTTTTACTTACATTGGTATTAATAAAGGTTCGTTCAAATTCTGAAAGGCGATTATGTATACAACAAATATATTTGTTCTAAAGGAAGAGCCTTACCCCGTATCATTTTTTTAATCTTGCCTAAAAAATTTTCAAACATAAAGCATGAAAAATTTTCCAATTTTCCAAACTTTTTAACATCCTCGTGTATATGGCTTAAGGAATGGACATTGTAGGTCACAAAAAATTTATCATACAATTCTGGAGAAAATCTTAAAAAATCATTAATTGTGTCTTTTGCTGTTGTAAAATATTTACCAATTAAGTACTTATTATTAAAAATAAATATAGCGCAATGTAACAGAAGAAAATGCTCATAATATTTTTTATCAATATTATTTTTTAAAGCCAGAGGACCACAATAAAGCAGAAAAAATCTATACTTTAAGGCTTTCCATCTCTTAACTTTATCTAATGAACGAATTTTTCTGTAAAAATCAACAGGAATAAATTTTTTTATGTGTCTTAAACTTTCGCTTATATTATTAAAGTTTAGTTTGCTCATTTTATAGGGCCGCTTTCCTTCAATCCAATATAAAATTAATAACCTTTTCATAACTCCTAGATATATTAAATGCATTGGATCAAGTACAAATTGTGACACCAAACCTACTTCAAGTGCTAAAAGTGGAGATTTTTCTTTAATGTGTCTATCTGACCTTATATTGTTTAAAAAATCACTGTCAGATCTCAGTGCATGAAGAGATTTAACTGGGTAAAAAGTTTTGTATTCTTATTTGCTACCCCTTATTACACATCTTTCGCATCCAATTGTGCTACTGTGCCCCAAAACGCACTTTAGGTAAGACCTGGCAGGGGCATCACATGAGAAAAAATTTATTTTTATATTACACATTTTATGTTCGTATTTGATTCCGTTCGAAAATAAGTGTAAACATTCTGTAATAAAATCATTTAAAAAGTCTTTCAGTGGTGAGGGTTTTCCCGAACCACAAAATATTGCAGCAGCAAAAGGATAAGGACTTGTAAAGCTATCACTGTGAACTAAAACCGGCCAAAACTCTGTTGAACTACTTTTAAATAATGGGATTCCATCTACATTAATATTTAATAAAATTGTATCATTAAAATGCTTTAAGCCTTCTGCAATTTTTTTTTAAACCGTTTTCTAATCCAAAATAAATCATGTTGCCATTTTCAAGTTGTATTTTTCTCACGTTGCGAGGTGTTATTAATATAGAACGAGCATCTTTTTTCAGAAATGGAAAAGCTGGATGAATTATGTTTATTAAATCGTTTATTGCGTTATGAGTAATACTATTGTCAGTGGCCCATTTTGAAAATTTTGCTAAAAATTGGGCTTCATTAACATTTTTTTTATTAGGATCAGTTGAATTTAAAGTAGTTTTTTTAATAAAGTGATTTGGGTTTTTTTTTACTAAATTATCTGGTGCATTTATACTTTGTAAGGAGAGGTAATCGTTTTCAGAAAATAAGTCAATATTATTAAAACTTGAAATATTTTCTTTAACTACACTATTTTTTAAAGTAGGTTTTTCATGTTTCTGTATTTGATATAAGTTTACCAAATTAGGCAAGATTTTAGTATCGCAATTTTGTCTATTGGAACACAAAGTTAATTCAACATTCTTTGCCACCCTACGACGCAATTGCCTTCTAGATATTAATTTAAAATTTGACATTGTTACCTTACTAAGCTCACTTACATAAATATAATTCTATAGGACTGTCTTTTTTTAATAAAACGGACATCTAAAAAATAAATAATAATGATATAAGCCTCTGAATAAATTTTTTTAACAGAATAATTATTTGTGAAATACGCAATGAAAAAAATGTCTATAGGGTAGATGCACCGGTTTTGGCCTTTGACCCTGTTTTGGCCACTTTGAATAATATTCAATAAATATTAACAGTATATTACACGATATTGTCTAGAGTACAGCTCCCGCCGAAATTTGAAGTAGGTAGTCCTATAGTGTAATAAAAGCCTTTAGGTTGGTATTCCTTAAACAGAAATGGTGGTCCGTTAAAGTTACGAGTGTTGTGTTCGACTGCATTCCTTAGCAGAAACGTTAAGAGAATAGGGTAAGTGTTTCATTGCACAATATCGTACATTTTAATTTAAAGAGTAACTTATAGGCGATTCTAAGTTTTAGAAGGTTGAAAGATTGTTATTAAATTGCGTTTTTATGGTTAAAAAGCATAGTTTATTTTTAAAATTGGGTGGCCAAAAGTAATATCACGAAATTAAAATTTCTTTACTTTTGGCCATGTTTCTGTCCAAAACAGGCGAATTAGTTATGAGTTTTGGCCATGCTGGCCACAAATGAAATTTGAATCATTGCTTTTGGCTACCTGGTTTTAACTGCAGATGTAGGTAGGTTGGAAGGTAAATTTAATATCTATTTTCAGCACTATGGCAAGACAAAAAAGGGGAAAAGAAAAAGGAAATGAAAAAGACGAGAACTTTTTTTTTGTATGAACCTGATCAGCTCAAGCAGGCCTTGGAGGCAATTAGGAACGGTATGTCAGCTGCAGAAGCAAGCAAGACTTTTCATGTTCCCAGAACAACGTTAAGGAGAAAAATAAATGGTCTCACACCTGAGTCAACTGGAAGGACTGGTCCGCAAAGTATTCTCGGGGAAGAAGTTGAAGGCCAACTTTCTGAATGGATGCTAAATTGCGCGAAAATGGGTTTTCCGATTACTAAAGATGGTCTGTTGTATTCCGTAAAAAAAATCCTTCAAGCTTCGCCTTTCAAAAACCAAACACCGGGCAAAACGTGGTTTAAGTCGTTTATGAAAAGACATCCTAACTTGACGTACAAACAGGCAGAGTATATAAACAAAGCAAGGGCAAACATAACACCAGAGAAAATTCGACACTGGTTCCAAGAGACGCTAGACTTGCTGGGTGACGATGCTGACGTTTTAAACCATCCTGGAAGAATATATAATATGGATGAAACGGCTTTTTACCTTAATCCCACAGGTGGTTGTGTTTTAGCAGAAAAGGGTAAGCACGTTTACACTACATCTGCAAATAGTGATAAGGAAAATGTTACAACGTTAATTACTGTGGATGCTGAAGGAGTATTTGCACCTTCTTTGACTATTTATAAATTTGAAAGACTTCCCGCTTCTTATATAAAGTTTGCCCCACCAAACTGGGGCGTTGGAAAATCTCCAAATGGCTGGATGACAGCAGCTACTTTCTTTGAGTATTTTACAAATGTTTTTTACCCTTTTCTGGTAGAGAGGGATACGGAGTTTCCCGTTATTGTTTTTTTAGATGGTCATTCATCGCACCTAAGCATTCATTTAAGTCGTTTCTGTAGAGAAAAAAATATAATTGTAGTATGCCTATACCCCAACACGACCCATATTTTGCAACCATTGGATGTGGCAGTTTTTGAAAACTGTAGAAAATTATCTACAAAACCGGTTAATAACAAAGCTCATATGCTATATGACATCTGGCTCCAATACAAATTTGAGAATTAAGCAAAACAAAATACGCAGATATCCAACTCGGAGATCGTCGGTGAAGATGCAGTTCAAGTAGGAGATATTATACGGTTTCCATTTCCTGAATATGACTTTTACAACGATCTGGAAGAAACTAATTGGTCGGACTTGCCTACAGCTCTAAATAATAATGGAATTGCAAATGAGGCTAGTAACAGTTCAGTTCCCATCAACGAAAATGTTCCTGATGTTCCAATTGTAGACGATATCACAAGTATATTAAATGAAGACCAACCAGAACCAAATGAGAATACGGAAAATCCAAATGCTAGTTTTTTTTTTTAAGTTCGGAAACGGCAACAGAAACATCAGTGTCAAATAAAGCAGTTCGCTTGCAAATTTCTGAGAAAGTAGAAGTTGCAGACAAGACAATAGACAAAACAAAAGAAATTAATCTAAGTGAAACTAACTGTGATATGATTTAGATTTTAAAGACGACAAGAAACAAGATGAAAACGAGAGAAAAGACTGTGATAAAACGGCTGTGTTACAAACCGATACTTGTAACGAAAAACATATTACAGTAACTAAAAAAGAAATTACTGTCTTATCGAATGTGCTGATTTATCCATCAACATCCAATCACAAAAGTGCGAAAAAAACATTCAACAGAACAAGAATGCCAAGTGTTTTGACTTCGGATAAATGGTTGGATTTAGCAGAAGCTAAAGAAAATGAAAAGTCTGATCTACTTCTACAAAAAGAGAATCGCAAAAAGAAAAGAGAGGAAACAAAAAAAAAGGACATTGAAAAAAGCTAGAGAAAAATGAGGCAAAGGCAAAAAGGATAAAATTGACGCTTAAAATGAATAAAAATTCCCAAGTAGATGTTGAGCAGACCAGTACCAGCCTTGAAAATATAAATGATGAGGACATTGTAAAAAAAACGAACCGGAACAAGAGAAGAACATAAATAATTTAAAAGTTGGTGTATTAAATACCGGAAGGTGTCCGATCAGGCGAAGCTCATCAAAATATGTGAGAAGGACGAGGTCAGGATCAACAAATTGAACTCGGAGATCACGGCCATGAAGCAGGTCAAGGTCAAGCTCATTAGGAACATAAGAGAGGAGTCCGACAAATTTAGAGCGTGGAAGCAAGTGAGGGAGCGGGAGATGGCCAAGCTAAAGCAAGAAGACAGACAGACAAATGTTTTTTACCCTTTTCTGGTAGAGAGGGATACGGAGTTTCCCGTTATTGTTTTTTTAGATGGTCATTCATCGCACCTAAGCATTCATTTAAGTCGTTTCTGTAGAGAAAAAAATATAATTGTAGTATGCCTATACCCCAACACGACCCATATTTTGCAACCATTGGATGTGGCAGTTTTTTTTTCGTTGAAGAATAAAGGGAAAACTGTGCTGCGGAATTGGAAAATTGAACACGATGGGAAAGATATAAGAAAGGAAGACGTACCTGCAATTTTACATAACATAATCACAGAAAATTCATTTAAGTCTTCAATTGTTAATGGTTTTAGGAAATGCGGATTATACCCGTTTAATCCGGAAAATGTCGATTATTCTAAATGTACGTTGAAAAATAATATTGCCAGCCAAGGATTAAATAACAGCCTTGTTGAAGATTTTACTTCAAATTTGAGTCACCTACAATATTTAGAAAACAAAATAGGCTTAACAACGCTAAACGACTTTGAAAACTGTAGAAAATTATCTACAAAACCGGTTAATAACAAAGCTCATATGCTATATGACATCTGGCTCCAATACAAATTTGAGAATTAAGCAAAACAAAATACGCAGATATCCAACTCGGAGATCGTCGGTGAAGATACAGTTCAAGTTGGAGATATTATACAGTTTCCATTTCCTGAATATGACTTTTACAACGATCTGGAAGAAACTAATTGGTCGGACTTGCCTACAGCTCTAAATAATAATGGAATTGCAAATGAGGCTAGTAACAGTTCAGTTCCCATCAACGAAAATGTTCCTGATGTTCCAATTGTAGACGATATCACAAGTATATTAAATGAAGACCAACCAGAACCAAATGAGAATACGGAAAATCCAAATGCTAGTTTTTTAAGTTCGGAAACGGCAACAGAAACATCAGTGTCAAATAAAGCAGTTCGCTTGCAAATTTCTGAGAAAGTAGAAGTTGCAGACAAGACAATAGACAAAACCAAAGAAATTAATCTAAGTGAAACTAACTGTGATACGTATTTAGATTTTAAATACGACAAGAAACAAGATAAAAACGAGAGAAAAGACTGTGATAAAACGGCTGTGTTACAAACCGATACTTGTAACGAAAAACATATTACAGTAACTAACTACTGTCTTATCGAATGTGCTGATTTATCCATCAACATCCAATCACAAATGTGCGAAAAAAACATTCAACAGAACAAGAATGCCAAGTGTTTTGACTTCGGATAAATGGTTGGATTTAGCAGAAGCTAAAGAAAATGAAAAGTCTGATCTACTTCTACAAAAAGAGAATCGCAAAAAGAAAAGAGAGGAAACAAAAAAAAAGGACATTGAAAAAAAGCTAGAGAAAAATGAGGCAAAGGCTAAAAGGATAAAATTGACGCTTAAAATGAATAAAAATTCCCAAGTAGATGTTGAGCAGACCAGTACCAGCCTTGAAAATATAAATGATGAGGACATTGTAAAAAAAAACGAACCGGAACAAGAGAAGAACATAAATAATTTAAAAGTTGGTGTATTTGTCATAGTTAAATATTAAAGTTATTTCTTTCCTGGGAAGATTATAAAAATCAAATCAAATGAATACTTGGTTTCTGCTATGACAAAAAGCGGTTTACATTGGAAATGGCCTCTAAAAAAAGATCAACTTCTATACGAGTATGATGATATCCAACAAATTATTCAAGCTCCAATAAAGAAAAATGTACGTGGAGCATTTGCAGTTGTAGAAATGGAAAAATATGAACCAATGCCTTGAAGTTGTACCTGAACTAATTTTTATTTTTAATTTTGTTAAATTTAAAAGTATTTTTTTGTTTTTTGTATATTTGTACGCTTATTTTTCATACGAAATAAACATATTTTCCGTTACATTAATTTTTATTAATAATGGCCAAAACTAGCGCTCGGATATGACCAAAACTAATAAGTCCCTGGCCAAAACCGGCGATCTGATGTGACCAAAACTAATGATTTCCTGGCCAAAACCAGCGCTTTCGGCTTTTTTTATTTTAAAATTATTTTTAAAATACGCCCTCAATTTCTATGCTTATAAACCCCATCTACAATATACCTATATAGGTACTATGCTCCACACTTCAAAGTCCCACCACGTGACCACGTACGGAACGCAGTCTTTTGATAATTTGTCATTTAAGGCTTTTCAGGTTATGTATCTGTCAAAGTATAGTCAATGCAAGAAATAATATTTATACTGTTTAAGCGTTAAAAGTTTATAAATCTTTATAGTATCACAGTAACAATGGTTGGTTTAATGAAATTCTAAAGTGTATAGTGCCAAATAAGTAAAATTTTTGTGCATTTGGTCTACATATATCTGGTTTTATCCATTAAATAGTTTTAACTAAACGGCATTTATTAAAAAAATTTAGCTTGTCTATTATGGAATAAGAATACCTATCTGTATCAAAGGTAGGTTAATATATTATAACAAAAAATATCATCTAATTTTGAAATTTTACACTGTCAGCTAATATACCCATAGTGTCAATACAAGTACCTATAAAAGCTTCGACAAAATTTTATCTACATCGAACAATCATTAGGTATAAATAACCTTATAAATTCTAAAATTTAAATAAAACCACAGTATACTCTATCTAATATTTTTACTTGTAGTAGTCTTTCTTATCCAGCTTAAAGTATACCTACATAAAGTTTTGTCAATACAATTACGTATAAAGCTTCAACTGAATTTTATCTTAATTGAAAAATCATTATAACTTTTAAAAATTTCAAAAATCACATGTTATGGAAGTATTAAATATTTTTACATTGCACACTGAAAAAAAAGATTTCTTACATTTAGAACACCAATCATCTTGAAAATATTTTTTTAATTCAAGTCAACTTGCTTTAAAATAAGAATATATATTTCAATTAAAAATATTTAACTTCTTTAAAAAAGAATTTTGTATTTTTGGAAATATTCTAGCATTAAGAAACAGGTTCTTGTTTTAAAAAGTTGCATGTTTTAATTCAAATATTAAATATTCTTGAAGGAAATCTAAGTTGGTTTCTTGGTACAATTGTTAATATTTTTATATCAAGAATACGATATTTTTAATTTTTTTTATTTGTTTAATTTTTTATATTAAGAAATAGATATTCTTAAATTTGTTTATTTGTTTTTATAAACAGTATTTTCTTTTACCAATAATACATATTCTTAAAACTGTATAGAAGTGGGGATGCCGACACGTTCCTCTTAAATTTTATGCCTAATTATGCAGTGTTTCTTTGTTTTTATGAGCGAAAGGGCGTATAATGATTTCATTAAAAAAATTATTAGAAGAGTGGTCAGTATCGGAGGAAATTATAATTTCATAATTTATAATTCAAGAAAATTTCTTGAATTAAGTATCTTTTTTTATTTAAGAATACAACTGATTTATTTTTAAAAGAACATATTCTTGCTTTAAAACAACCAATTATTTGGTTAAAGAAATCATTTTTTTTATTTAAGAATATATTTTTTTTATTTCAATATGTTACTTCGAATTTTTTTGTTGGAAGAAAATACATTTTCTTGATTTAAGTAAATATTTTTTTTATTTAAAAATATTGCTGCCTTATTTAAAAAAATATATATTCTTGCTTTTGAACAATCAAAGTTTTATTTAAAGAAATTTAATTTTCTTACATTAAGAAAATATTCTTGAAGTAAATCAACGTGAATTAAGAAAATACTTTTCTATTTTAAAGAATATATTCTCTTCGTTATATATGAGACACAGATTGTTTTGAATCAAATAAATTTATTTGATACAAGAATATTTTTTTTTCAGTGCATGTATCTCTAAAAATTGTTTGTTTCCTTATAATCTAACTTAAAGTAGGGATCCCGAGAGGTATGCACAAGTTTTGTTGTTAGGAGTATAAAAGCTTTAATTTAATTTGAACCATATTCAACAATTATTTTGTATATCTATATTTATATGACCATATTAACACACTCTTCCAAATAATCCAAAATACTTATTTATTTTGATCAAAATAGATTTTTCTAACCTTAAAATTTTAAAATTAGATGATATTTTTTGTAATAATATATTAACCTACCTTTGATACAGATATTCTTATTCCATAATAGAGAAGCTAGAATTTTTTAATAAATGCCGTTTAGTTATTTATGGATTATATTTTATGGATAAAACCAGATATAATATATTAAAATATTATGTAGACCAAATGCACAAAAATTTTACTTATTTGGCACTATACACTTTAGAATTTCATTAAATGCAGTATTTATACTCCTAAACTCTTAAACCAACCATTGTTACTGTGATACTATAAAGATTTATAAACATTTAACGCTTAAACATAAACGGTAACAGTATAAATATTATTTCTTTCATTGACTATACTTTGACAGATACATAACCTGAAAAGCCTTAAATGACAAATTTTCAAGAGACTGCGTTCCGTATCTGGTCACGTGGTGGGACTTTGAAGTGTGGAGCATAGTACCTATTACTTATGTACCTACGTACGCCTATTATAATAAACAAGTTAATTTTAAATTAAGGTATTTTTCAGCCTAACAAGAATCCTAGATTTTATTATGGTTTATTAAACGTTTAAATGATTAAAATTATTTGTTTAACTTTTTGTTAATTAACTGGATAGATAGGAACATAATATTTCCTTAGATAAAAATAAAGTTTATTATACCTAAGTATTTTATTCTGTTTACACTAATAAAAATAATTCATTCTAACCTATAAATGTAACTAACCTGTAAATCGATGCCGATCGTCAAACCCACGCCGTTATCTTCTTTCTACGTACGTAGTATACACAGATTGGTAGTATAGTTCACACCCTAGGGTTCACACTAACAAAATTTGTTGCATTTAATGCAAAAATTTTAACAGAAACACTCTTGCTCTGCCCTAACTAGCACAATGTGCTCTAACGGAAACGGAAACCAAGATCGTAAAACTCACCACGTGCAAATTTGTACGTTAGTGCAAACAGGGTGACCAACATTTAATTTTTCTTCCCCCAAAAATTATTTAATACTTTAAATAAATATTAAAAAGTTAAATAATAATAACAAATAAAGTTGTCTCATTCGTACGCCTAGTCAATATTCGAAATACGAATTACGTTGCACCCAGTCTTACCAAAAAATGTTTCTCTTTAAATGGAGCCATTTTTAGGATCGTCGCAACAACGCGGGCGATCTTGGTGATCAAGGCTTGGTAGTAATAATAATTAGGTATTATTTAGTAAAGACCCGCTCTCCGGAAAACTTTCAAGGTCAATAGGTTTTAATAAAACACAAATAAAATTTAAAATATATATTAAGAAGCGTTATTAAATACATTGGTAGGAACTGATCCGTGCAAAGAATACGTAAATCTAGATTGAGGTAATTCCTCTTCGTTTAAAGTATCAAAAGTGGTTTCATCAAACAAAGCATTATTTAATTCAACAAATGTTTTTGCAACTAATGATTCTGGTGTTCGTAATCGTAACGAAGGATTTGTCCACAAATCAGGAGACATTAATTTTTCTGGTAATTTATTTTTCATGAAGATCTTGATGGCACTTTGTCCAACTCCAGTAACAACATGTTCAGCCATTACATTAGCAAATCCATATTGCAACGGTCTAGGTATATACGGATCCATTGGAACACATTCTAAATTTAATTCTTAAGTTAAAAATCCTGAAAAGCTATGTTGAAGTAAATTAATTTCAACAGTAATTGGTAAACCTTTAATAAAAAATTGCGGAGGAGCATTGGAAAACATATCATTGAATTTATAGCCTAGCAATTGTTTACTGAGTATTTCATTTTTTTGATCATTAGCATCTCTAGTAAGTATACTATCGTATATACCATAGTTAGCATAATTTAAAGGTCCTCTAATTACATTAAAAACTCTATTGTGTAATAATAATTTTGGATTATTTTTAATATTTAATTGATTTGATACGCCAACCCTTGAATCCATCATATACAATGGTTCTGCAAATTGAGGTGCACTACAATCTATATTATTTATTTCATCGTCACATTCAATATGATGTTCTAATAGATTTTCACCCGGATATAATAATTTAACATGTTTATTGTCCATCAATAAGTCCGGATAGTATATTTTTTTAATATCATCTATAGTTAAGGGTTGCAAACCGACATTTTTGTCGGGTGTATAATTTTTAGCAGTACCTTGAGTACCGGAAACAGTATTAAGAACGTCTGCATTGTTTGTCCAAGGAGTAGCATCGGAATTAGTAGGATATGGTATTAAATATTGAATATCGTTTACAGGTAGTACTAAAGCATTATTAGATTTAAACCCTGTTCCATCATGTGATCTATAAAAATCGTCTGCGCTTCCTTCATCTTCGAACACTTTAGCAACTCTTATTGTTTTTTGGTCATATAATTCTGGACATATACTGTAAATGGTATTATTAAAACTTAATTGAGTTTGTTGGGTTCCAGCTTGGATACTAATAGGTGTTGTATTATGAATTTTGACAGTAATTGATTTTGGTTTGAAATTCTTCGTATTATGTAGTAATCATTGATAGACAAAAAACAGCCGTAAGTATTATAAGGTATAGAATGGAAATTGTGCAGGTTACCGGGGATTGTAGCCACTCTGTAATTGAGATTAGCATTTTCTTTTCAATTCATTATTTTCCATATTACGTAATGACCATTCCCTAACGAATTTAAATTTTTCTATTAAACTTTTACCTGTCATCGTATTACCACTTATCAATTGAAATAATTGGTCTCGTATATTTTTTGGAATAACATTGTTCATGAAAATTGTAAAATGCACGTGATATCCGCGAATAGTTGAATCTTCTATTATAGCTAAAATATCGTATTCTTGAGATGTTTCCAAATTATTAAGTATATTATGTATTAATACTCTAATTAATGTTATTAACAAAAACAATTTATTTTTAACAACTCCGCCATAAGAAATAGGATCAACATTAATAACAAAAGATAAAGCTTTCTTACAATTAAATTTTTTAGACAACGACGGAGCATCATAGTTTTTGTTAACAGCTAAAAAATCCTCAGTATTGTTATAAACTCCTTCAGTTATATTATTTTTAGAAACATGCCATATTTTATCTTTATAATTATTTTCTAATATATCACTATTTAAACCATCCCTATCTCCTGTATAATAATATATTGAGGCCATATTTATTAAAAGTGAGTTTTTTTAGGCTGTAAGAAGGTCCACTATTGCTAGGACCGGCGTCGTTGGATCCTCCTGAATTGTTGCCAGACTTTCGTTTATATGATTGTGCTTCTTCTTCTCTGGACAGCTCGTCGTCCCACGATATGCCAAAGTTGCCTGCATTTAAATATTTTACAAAACAACTCATCCAACCTGACTGTACTAAATCGTCATCGTCGAAATTTTCTACGATTTCCAATAATGCCATATGATATGTCATAACACAAAATTGTAATATTGTAGAAAATTTTAAATAATATGTTTTATATTTTATATTAAATGGCAAAGTAACTATAACGCAATAAAGAATTGTATTTCCATCCTCCAATGTTAATGGTATCCATGTTATGTCAGCATTTTTAGTTTTTAATTTTGTATTTAATGTACAATAAAACTCATGTATTACAGTGAATAAGGAGTTTGTATCTTCTTCATCAAATATGTCCTTATCATTGCAATCTACTACTATTAAATTTAATAGTACACTTTTATATGTCATTTTCATAACATCTTTAAAAGCATTGGCCTTTTTCTTCAACGTAAAAAAATGGACAAATGATTTAGTATACTTGCTAATTTTGTGAGAATTATAATTTCCTGACATTTTTACCTTAAATTCACTTAATGATCCTGATACTTGTGCTTTCTTTATTCCTGCTTCAGTATTTGTTGGTCCACCAGTATTCGCTGTATGTCCAGCAGGATTTATGTCTTGCTGGTGTACTTGAGGTCCAACGGTAGTACTACTTCCTTCATTATTTGTGCTACTTGGTCTTTTAGCGGAGATGTCGGCAATAGCTGGCGTAGTAGATGGTCTTTTAGCTCCACTAGGTGTTGATGATGTAGATTGCTGAGGTTCTTCAATAACTTTGACTTTAGTAGGTCCAGTTTGTGTAGTTTCAGTATTGGGTCTTTTTGTTCCTTGCGAAAATTGGGAAATTTCATCAAATTCAGTATCTTCTGGATGTTCAGGAGGAATACTGGAATCTAAAAAGAAATTAAACTGTAAATATCATTTATAAAAATTACCTTTTGTTAACCATTGTTTAAGCATAGTATTACTACTACTACGTAATTCTCTCTCAATATATAATTTGGTAAGTTGATGCATATTTAAATAATTTTTAAGGGACATTTCCTCTCCATTAAACCACGTAATATTATCATTTAAATTAAATTTATGAATTATATAATGTCGAAAACTAGGTGATTTTAAAAATAAATATGCTGGTGTCGACCTATGTTGTTCCCACGATATACCATGGTAACGTAATTGTTGACTTAATATAGCTTTAGATTGCTTAGACATACCTGTAGTGTCTAGTAGAGTAAGTAAAAATGAGAACTAAATAAATGATAAGCTAAATTTTAATTTATAAGGAACGACTAACCTTCAAATGCACGCTTGTTGATTTTATGAAAATTTTCTAACTGCTTATCTATATATAACTTATTATTTGTTATGTACATATTTAATTGTTTTTGTTTCATATCGCTAAGCTCATTAAATATACCGGTTGTTAATGCACGATCAAGGTTGTACTTGGCGTTGTAATCAATGTAATAAAAACGAGAGGTACCATTAAGGGAGTCCCAATTTTCAAGTTTATTTTTTGCGTCTAACCAAATGTCCTCGCTTATTGTACCTTTAGAACGATATGTCATTAATAAATTTTTTGCATATATCTCTAAACTATTATAATAGTTTTTAAATTTTTCCAAATATACTTCTTTATTTTTTTCATAGCGTACACTTTCGTCATGTGCCATATTTTGATTTATATACTCATTTGTTACTCCTTCATCTATTCTGAATGTAGCAAAATTAGATTTAACATTACTTTTCCATAAGGCTTTAATATTATCATATAATTTATTCATATTTATTCTATTTAAAGAACTTACACTTATATTTTCAAATTCTTCTATTTTACTCAATTTGTTATTTTCTTGTTCTTCTCTAATTAATTGCAATTCCTTATTATTTAATTTAATACTCTCTATTTGATTTTTTGAAAAAATAGGATAGAGCACTCCATATTTTTTTTCAAAATTATGCTTTATATATATTCCTCCGTAGCTAATTTTATTTACTATCCAGTCGTAAATTCCCTCTGTTTCGTATGCCTTCATATCACTCAAGAATATCTCGTCTGCTTTTAGAATATCTAAAGGACTTTTGGCATTTTTATAAGCAATGTCATGTTGACGCGCTATTTCATCTAGTTCATTTTCACTGGAACCGTATATAGGATTGCCTGGTCCTATATGAGGATACTTTGGCAATATTGCCATATTTATGGTACTTCCTTCGCTTATTTGATCTGGTACTTTTGAAAATGGAACATTCCAATGTGCTCTATCTTCAAATGGATTTTCGTAATATGTATCTACATCATCCATCTCACTCATGTCTTCCCAACACTTTATCAATTCCTCTATATAGTCATAATCTGACGTATCACTGTCACTGTCACTTTTATATATATTTTTTTTTAAACTCCATATTTATAATTATATTAAAACCTATTGACCTTGAAAGTTTTCCGGAGAGCGGGAATGTTTTTGGCTACACCCTCCCAACCCACCCACTAAAAAAATTTACAAAAAGAGTGTAAAACACTCTTTAAAGTATAGTTATAGATTTTCGATCGATGATGCTCGAATCCACCCGAACTCGCACGACATGTTCTCTACTACGTTCTTATCTAATTTCAAGGTCACGCGCGCTAGCTCTTCCGTCGTAGGCCCTTTTGGTTTGATTGTTTCAAAAATCGCTTAATTGGACGATTTTACCCTAGTAGAGTTACTACAACTAACCTAAACTACCCCAATCTAATTATATACAGCCCTAGTCCCACTCCTGGTGTCAATTGCGCGCGTAGCAATTGCGCCGGACCAAGTATTTTGTATACTAGAAACGTTTATTAACACAAAAATATATGTAGCAAAATATTTGCTTAAAAGTAAAGTTTAATAAACGTAACTACATTTGTAAGAGTTTATTTTGGGTTTAGTGAAAGCGTTTAAGCACACGAATTTATTTCAGACAATATAAACGTTTAAAATGTACGTATAATTTTTTTCATTTTAATCTTAACGATACATATTACATACACTGGAAACGTTTATAAATGGTTTAATAAATTCGTTAAAAATCAAGTTTTTTTGAATATATATATTAAGGTGGGCCGAATTTTAACAATTTCGGAATTTTGATTTGGAATAGTGTGAAAAAGTTGCGTTTTGGCAATACAAAGAAAATGTTTATTTTCAATTTTTTTGTCAATTTGATTTTTTTACCCTCTACAGGGGGTTAAAAAATTTAAAAATTTCGAAAAACTGAAATTTGTAATTTTGGCTTGGAATAGGGTGGAAAAGCTTCCTCTTGATAAATGAAAGAAAATATTTAACTTTCCTTTTCCCCTCAATTTGCGATTTCCACCCTCTACAGGGGGTTGAAAAATTAAAAACCACGATATAACTCAAATTGTGGAGCAGCTCTTTGCTTTTTCAATATTTATTAGGCTAATAATAGATATTAAAAAACCCAGACCTCACCGCGGGGAGGTGGCTGCTCAGCGAGTTCCATCCTACCCTCCCTCTTCAGAAACTCAAGTGATTTACTGATTAAAGTCTTTTTTAGTTTCAAACTGGGGCATTGATGTTCGTGAATCCATCTTTGCTTTAATAAAACCATCCCTTTTAACTATGCCAACAACTGAACAAGATGCTTCCGTCACTAACTTGACACATCGTTCGACCGCTTGGGTGTGGCACGGATATGACTCACATTCAAAAATTTTCTCAGGATCACTTTTTATAAAAGCTTGATATCTTCAACGGTCATGCTTTGAAATATCGGAGGACAAGTGATCTCATTTTCCTGCCAGTTGATTAAATCGATGTAGTCATCAGCGTCAAAGTTAAGTTTGGGTAATGTGAAATTCCGAATTTTATGTTGATTATCTTTATTTTTCGCATTTATAATCCGTCTAAGAGCACGCTCTCTTACAAAATTACGAGAATCGGATAACATACTTAACAGCAGGTTCTCAGGATGTGAAAAATATGAGTTGCGCTGAATCACAGGGTAAATAATACTTTTTAGCTCTTGGTTTAAATATCGGCTTACCTTTATAGTTTGAAAAACATGCTTTGCTCCGTGTTTAAATGATGGATTAAATTTTATTGGAAACCAAATGGAAGCATATACTTTCAAAATAAAAGTAGTCAACTGCATTAAATTTGTGTTGGGATCTTCTGTGACGATATACAGGCGTAAGATACGATTTGCCAAAGTTAGCCAACGGGCATGGTTTAATTTACCAGGATTTTGATTTATTAAGTCCGTGGAATAGACTCCTGAGGAAATTGCTTCACAGATTTTATATAAATAGTTTTGATCTGTACTTAAGCCACTACACGTCACAGGAGGTAGCTCACAGTCAATATTTTGGTAGTTTGCAACTGGTAAAGTTTCGCAGTCTTGTATTTGCTTTCCCAATGGACCTGCAAATGCTTTAGGTCCAGATGTTTGCCCATCAATATGCTGGAATATATGTCTAAGAGGGAGTTCATTAGCGTGTAGCTGACACACGAAATGCTGTAATGGTCGACCTAATTTCACCTCAAGTTGGGCAATTACACCATTTTTCAACCCGGTGTTCACTACGGTCCCGTCACAACCAACCGCAACCAGATCACTTAAATCATATCCCTTCTCTTGCAAAAATGAGAAAATGCTGTCGCATATACCTTTTACCGATCCATTGGAAGGTACAGTATGACCCAAAAAGATGGATACTGGTTCTTGCACTAATGTGATGTGCTCCTGAACTACTGACCGTCGATGATGTTTTTTATCCACTGTTTCAACCATTAGGGTTTTGTCTTTTCTTCCATCAAAATATATTGCTTTGAGAGATTCATTTTCTTGTTTAGAATAGGATTTTCTGGATTTTTCTCTGGCCCGCCTCAATTTATTTTTGTCTATCACATGCGTAGTGTCATCCAAGCGATTCCAAAGTCTTGCAATACTGCTGTAACGACTGCAGCTGCTGATCTATCTGACAAACCAAACCTGTCACAAATTTTAGCAACCGTAGGAAGCCTTTCAGTTTTTAGGGGCGCCTTTAATGTTTTGCCAATTCCCGCAGAGGTGGAGGGCAAGTCGCTTACATTTAAGATGTTTGATTGGCACATGTCCGACGTTTTTGTTCTAGATTTTATTGTTATTTCATTTTCAAAGTTTAATTTCTTATTTTGCGATTTTTTTTCCATTCTAATTGTTTTCTTCAATAATTTTTTTGTTTCGTTGGCATCAATTGAACCAATTACCATCATTCTGGCACCTCGCTGATCTTGAAGAAAGTCACTTTATGGTCTTTACTGCAAACACATTGTTCAAAGTTCTCACATTTACACGCACTGATGTCAAATAACTTTTTGATTTGAACTTTAAATTCTTCTACTTTTAAATTATAACTTTCACTTTTTCTACAACTTGGATACCTCAGAAGCTTCAAATATTTTTCATGCTGCGCCTTGATCAATTGTAGAACACGTTTTCTTGTTACCGTGGGTATTGACGACTTCTGCCATAAATGGGAGCAAAAGTTTTTCGATATATCGAATATACTTGCCGAACAGATTTTGTGAGTCTTCAAACTATATCTAATGCATACATAACATTTTAAAACTTCTTCTATACTTGGAAGAATATTGTCTTTTAAATCAGAAGGAGAGCCTAGTAAAGGACACTCAATATCGCGCCTCGTATAAAAATCTTAATTATATCGTGATTTTTCATTTTTCAACCCCCTGTAGAGGGTGGAAATCGCAAATTGAGGAGGAAATTGAAGATAGATATTTTTTCATTTGTCAAAAGGAAGCTTTTCCACCCTATTCCAAGCCAAAATTACAAATTTCAGTTTTTCGAAATTTTAAAATTTTTTAACCCCCTGTAGAGGGTGAAAAAACTAAATTGACAAAAAAATCGAAAATAAACATTTTCTTTGTATTGCCAAAACGCAACTTTTTCACACTATTCCAAATCAAAATTCGGAAATTGTTAAAATTCGGCCCACCTTAATATATATATACCCAAACGGTTTAATAAAAACTTAAAATCAACGTTTCATTAACGTTTTTTTAATAAACCTGTAATAAAAACGTTTACATTTTATACCGAAACCTAAAATAAACGATTATAACATTGAGTAAAGTGTGTGAAGAGACGCAAGGTGGTAGGACGATCTGTGCCAGGCGTATTATTATTAATTTACAAGAAAATGTGTCCGTAAGGTGTCGCCATCTACCCACCAATGTTCCAAGCTTGAAAATATGATAAAATAAGGGGTATTTGTTTGAAATTCCGATCTCCCACGCGAGCTTCTTACCCCTCCTTTCACTAAACTCGTCGCTTAGCAACGAGACGACAACACAATTTTTTATTTGCAGTCATAATATTATTTGTCCTAGGATTATTTGTGTCTGAATTTAGTGGTTTATTATTTCATCATTGAGTAAAGTAAGTAACCAAAAGAATTTATTTATTTATTAACAATTCCTAGTGCTGTTCTGAGAGGTAATTTCTATTCTATTTCATTATATAATTATTATTACTAATAATAATTATTAATTAATTATCTACCCAATTATTATTTAATTATCATTATAATAATTATTAATTAACTATCTACCCACTTTATCTAATTATTATTTATAATAATTAATAATAATAATTATTAATTAATTATCTACCCAATTATTATTTAATTATCATTTAAAAGTTAAATTCTATTTTAAAAAAATATGCCTCTGAAACGTGTGAAATTTATTTATTTTTAATTAAAAATGTACATATGTATGTATACATAGAGGCATATTTTTTTAAAATAGAATTTTACTTTTAAATGATAATTAAATAATAATTGGGTAGATAATTAATTAATAATAATTATTATTAATTATTATAAATAATAATTAGATAAAGTGGGTAGATAGTTAATTAATAATTATTATTAGTAATAATAATAATAATTTTTATCAAAAAAATTACTTTTTAAACCATGCAAGCTGGATTTTTAAATTTCTCTTTCAATAAAGTTTTTATACGAAAACACCCTGGACATACATAATATTATATTTATACATTTATACCACAATTAAAATATCAAATAGGGTACCACTTACATACATATTATTATAAGTAATTTTTTTGATAAAAATTAAAAAACAAGAAAGCATTGATAAAATTGATGTATTTAATTGGTTTTTGATATTTTTAATATTGATATTTTTTGATATTTTAATTGCCATTAAAAATAAATCTATGTATGTACAGTGTGTTTTCGTATAAATGGGACACTCCTCTAAAATCTTTATTTGAAAATATTATTATATTGTATTACATATATTAAATTAAAAATTAATATAATTATTAAAAAAATAAAAAATTCAGCTGCATGGTCAAAAAAGTGATTTTATGAAAATTTTTTGACAAAAATTAAAAAACAAAAAAGCATTGGTAAAATTGATGTATTTAATTGGTATTTGATATTTTAA